AATTACTTTTTAGTGAAATAGAGTGGAATTTAAAACCTCATGCTTAGGAAATACCGTTTTTTTTGGTGAAAGGTGAGTTTCAGTTCATCTATCTGTCTGTCTGTCCAAGACATAATATTTCTGAGTTAGGATATTTAATGTAGTCCTTGTTGCAGGTCTCAGTGGAAAGGGTTTTAAAGTCACAGGCCTAGCCGGGCTCGGTGGCTCAGCCTGTAATCCCGCGCCTTTGGGAGGCTGAGGTGAGTGGATTGCCTGAGCCCGCAGGTTTGAGACCCGCCTGGGCAGCGAGACCTCATCTCTACAATAAATCAAAAAATCAGCCGGGCGTGGTAGCGCATGCCTGTAATTCCGGCTACTTGGAAGGCTGAGGTGGAAGGATCTCCGGAACCCAGCAGGTCAAGGCTGCGGTGGCCAGGAGCGGCCACTGCACTCCAGTCTGGGCGACAGAGTGAGACTCCAACTCAAAAAAAAAAAAAAAGAAAGTCACAGGCCTGGGGTTTGAGGAAGGGTTAGCCATGAGAAAATGGCGATGACACAGGCTCTAGGGAGGGGGACCAGTGTGTGTCAGGCTCCAAGATGAGGGGGATAGAAGGGGAACACCCCAAGTCCAAGGTCTGGCCTTGTCTCTTGGATAATGGGGAGCCATGGGAGGAGGTGAGGTGAGAGCCCATCTTCTTCATCCCTAGGGACCAACCTATGGGCAGGAGGCAGAATGCAGGAAGCTGTCTTTGTTTTTTGCTTTTGCTTTTGAGTTGAGGCCTCACACTGTCACCCAGGCTGGCGTGCAGTGACATAATCATAGCTCAGGGCACCCTCAACCTCCTGGGCTCAGGAGATCCTTCTGTCTTAGCCTCCCAAGTAGCTGGGACTACAGGTGTGTGCCACTGCACTCAGCTAATTTTTTTGTAGAGATGAGAACTCGCTATGTTGCCCAGGCTGGTCTCGAAGTCCTGGTCTCAAGCAATCTATCTGCTTCGGTCTTCCAAAGTGCTGGGATTATAGACGTGATGGGAGGCTGTATTTATGGGACGCCACAGGAGCTTGGCACCTTGGACCTTCCCTGCTTCCACTTGGGCCTCCGGTATCAGCACCACTTGGCGTTTGAGGTGGGGTTGGAAGGAGGAAGCCAGCCTATCATGGGGAGAAAGCCTGAATTTCTATATTCATAGTGCATGTCTGCTTACCATTTTTGTGATCATGGGCAACTCTTATAATTTCTCTGTGGCTCAGGTTCCTCCTGTGTAAAAGCGGGTTGATGACATTCACTCCCAAAAGTCCTTGTGAGGATTTAGTTTGTAGCCCAGATATCTGCAAGCCTTCAGTAAAATAACTTTTTAGTAGAAGTATGTCCCAAATATTGCTTGGAATATTCTTATACTAACAAAATCAAATTGTTGTTGTTTTTCTTTCAGAGACAGCGTCTCACTTTGTCACCCAGACTGGAATGCAATGTTGCAATCATAGCTCACTGCAGCCTCGAACTCCTGGACTCAAACTATCTTCCTGCCTCAGCCAGTACTATAAGCATGCACCACCACATCCAGCTATTTTTTTATAGAAATGGAGGGCGGTCTTGCTATGTTGCCCAGGCTGGTCTCAAACTCTTGCCCTCAAGCAATCCTCCCACCTTGGCCTCCCAAAGTGCTGGGATTACAGAGTGAGCCATGCCTGGCCTCATTTGTTCTTTATCCGAAATTCAGATTTACCTGGATGTCCTGTATTTTATCTGGAAGCCCTGCATCAGATGGCTCACGTTCTGTCCTTGAACTACATGGGTCCAACACTCTCCATGTTTCGAGGCTTCCTGGGGCCATGCGTACCACTCTCTCACCTCTCCTGCCAGCCTGTTGCCGGGGGTCAGCTCTCTTCGCTCTGTCCCATGTTGCCCCGTTTTGGATCTACCTTGTCCCTTCTTCCTTGGTCCCCAGAGCACCAGCTTCTCAGGCCTCGTGCATGACTCACTTTTCCCGACCTTGTGTGGAGGACAGAGGGCGTTTGCAGCTCAGGGTGGAGCAGGAAACACACCTTAGGCAACTGTCAGCGCTGCTCCAGCAGGGGGCATCCTCGCTGGGCATGACTCCACCCTGCCCAGCACCCCACAGATGCCCTCCTATATTTAAGCTTTAAGGGACCTTAAGCTCTTTCTCCCTTCTTTCCTTCCTGATTTTTTCAGGGAGTGAGCTTGGGATTCACTTTTACCTACAAAAAAGTCCCTTGAAGCCAGATTCCTGGGGTTCTAATTCTGCCTACCCACTTGGTAGCTGTGTGACCTCAGGAAAGTTACTTAACCTCTCTCTGCCTGTAGAGATGAGGTCTCGCAAGTTGCCCAGGCGGGTCTCGAACCCGCAGGCTCGAGCAATCCACTCACCTCAGCCTCCCAAAGTGCGGGATTACAGGCTGAGCCACCAAGACCAGTTGGCTAATTTTTTAATTTTGAATTTTTGTAGAGACGAGGTCTCACTATGTTGCCCAGGTTGATTTCAAACTCCTGGGCTCAAGAAATCCTCCCACCTTGGCTTTCCAAAGTGCTGGGATTACAGATGTGAGCCCCCATGCCAGTCCAATTTTCCTCATCTTTAAAAAAATGAGATGATACTATTTGGCTCATGGGATAGCTGTGAGGATTTAAGAGAGCTCATCTATGCAAGAATGTCTATAACAGTCCATGACAGAGTGGGCACCAAACATGGGTTGACCATTACAGTGGTCATATTTCATCGATTCCATCGTTTATCTTGCTGTCTCGTTGCAAGTGCTCACACAGACATGCGTCAGCTGGAAGTGCTCATCATCGCCTGTGCAGACCTAAACCTGGCCAGGCGAGTTCCGCACCTTCTTTCCTACACGTGCTCAGTTTAATTGCTGTGTAAAATGTCTTCAAAAAGGTTACACTGTGATTTAACATTTAAACAAAGTCTCTGTGTATGCAGAGAGACAGGAAAACAGGAGCAGGGCAGGAATTTGATACGAGAGAAACGGTCATCATTGGAGAATGATTGCAGTTTCGTATTTTCTCACAAAACAACATTCGAGTGTTTTATGGGACCTCAGAAAGCAAGAGCCCCACAGGCAGATGAAACTGACATGTTGTTTTATTACTGAGAAAAGGGCAAAATGATTGCTGGTCACACATGAAGCAAGAAAACCCCTGAAATGAAGCTTAGAGAATGAGTATCTGAGGCTTGGAAACAGATTCTGGAAACAGTAGTGGGCGATCTTTTAAACAATGTTGCATGACCAATGCTCCTGATGGCACAGAAGGTGACATGGTGTAAAAAACATCAAGGACTCTGAGACAAAGAGGAATTCCGGAAAGCTGGACTTGAATATGAAGAAATTTAGGGAACATTTTAGCTAATGTTTTGCCTGCCATTTCCTTTTTATGCATGCACAGGAGCAATTTTGGTTTTAAAAAGTGGGCCAGGTGCAGTGGCTCACGCCTGCTATCCCAACACTTTGGGAGACTGAGCTGGGAAGATATATCTGATTGCCTGTGCCCAGGAGTTCAAGACTAGCCTGGGCAACAATAGTAAGACCTCATCTCTACAATAAGTCAAAAAATTAGCTGGGCTTGGTGGCATGCACCTGTAGTTCCAGCTACTTGGGAAGCTGAGGCAGGATCTCCTGTGCTCAGGAGATCAAGGCTGCAGTGAGCGGTGATTGTTGCCACTGCCCTCTAGCCTGGGCAACAGAGCAAGACCTGTACTCTAAACAACAACAACAACAAAAACTGATCTCTAAATACATCTAAAAGACTTCTTTCAATAAATAAAATTTTGAAATGCTATATGTAAGAAAGCAATCTTGGAGTCATTTTTCTTTTCTGACTTTTTTTTTATTGAGTCAGGCTCTCACTCTGTCATCTAGGCTGGATTGCAGTGGCGTGATCATGGCTCACCGCAACCTCAGCCTCCTGGGCTCAAGTGATCCTTCTGTTTCAGCCTCCTGAATAGCCGGGACTACAAGTGTATGCCACCATGCATGGCTAATTATTTGTTTATTTTTATTCTTAAATTTTTATTTTTTTGAGTTGGAGTCTCACTCTGTCGCCCAGGTTGGAGAGCAGTGGCACGTTCCCATCCACCGCAGCCTCGACCTGCTGGGCTCAGGAGATCCTTCCGCCTCAGCCTTCCGAGTAGCTGGAACTACAGGCATGTGCCACCACGTCCGGCGGATTTTTTGATTTATTGTAGAGATGAGGTCAGTTTTATTATGCTCATTTTATGGAGAAAGAAAAAAAGGTTAAGTCACAGCGATGGAACAGGGTGATGCCGGAGCGGATGCCCTCAATTTCCTCCGTTGACCCCTAGTTGACTTAACTCCATCACCCAGGGCCAGGGTCCCCGTGCCACTGAAATCATGCGCTCTTCTCAGGCCATGGGAGCGGCTGTTTAGCTTCACTGGGAGAAGCTAAAGCATAATGACTTATGGGTGATTAGCTCCAAGAAGGCAAGCACAGGACACACACAATCTTACGCTGTGGAAATTTGTTTTCCAACCAGTTGTTTTCCATCCCCTTCAGAAGGAATTTTTTTCGAGGTCGGACAGCAAGAAGAACTTCCCAGTCACTAGAAGGGGTAGCTTTGATTTTTCTCTCACAGTCAGTTTTGGGTGGAGTGTTGCCCCTGCCTTGGTCAACAATTTCAGTCTGAGAGGGGGGCACAGACACAACCCCCCACAAAGGTTCCCGTTCACACAGCCCCATGGGGGCTGGGGGAAGGCCTCAGGCAACAGCCCTGGGGTAGCCAAAGGAACAAACATGGAAAACCAGGGGACGTCAGTCCTTATCTGGAGCTCATTAATGGGGAACATTAGTCAGCTGTGAAGGCCAAGATGGGGTGATAGGCATGTGGGTGGGCAGGGATAGGGAGTGGGGGCAGAGGCGGCCACTGGGAAGAAGAGGAATTGACCTAAACACCTCCACCTCCACCCCACGTGCCCAAATCCAGGATGGAGGGACCCTATAAATGCCTGTGGCCCAGCCTCCCCAGAGCCTTGAGAAAGAGCGAGAGCGAGAGAGACTGCCGCTAGCCTCCTTGACTCTGAGATCACGGGCCGGGTCACGCAGGGCTCCATAGCATGTGGGAGCTCCGGTCCATCGCCTTCTCCAGGGCCGTGTTCGCCGAGTTCCTGGCCACTCTCCTCTTCGTCTTCTTTGGCCTTGGCTCAGCCCTCAACTGGCCGCAGGCCCTGCCCTCTGTGCTGCAGATCGCCTTGGCATTCGGCCTGGGCATCGGCACCCTGGTGCAGGCTCTGGGCCACGTCAGTGGGGCCCACATCAACCCTGCCGTGACCGTGGCCTGCCTGGTGGGCTGCCACATCTCCTTTCTCCGAGCTGCCTTCTACGTGGCTGCCCAGCTTTTGGGGGCTGTGGCAGGGGCGGCCTTGCTCCACGAGATCACACCAGCAGACATCCGCGGGGACCTCGCTGTCAATGTTGTGAGTAGCCATACATCGCCCCTGCCCAAGGGGCAGATCCCGGGGAACTCCTTGGGAAGGAGGAGATTGGCTCTAGGTGAGGGTCTGGGTAGGGAGACAGGCTGGAACAGAAGTACAGCTGTTGTAGGAAAGTCGGGGTAGAAGGATCAAGGGTGTCAGAGAAAAGTCCGGATACAAATGGGCCTACTGGGACCTTCTGCCACAGAAAAAGAGCAGCGCTGGGGTGTCTGTCTGTTGGACTTAATGCCTGCTTTCCAGTGAGGACTGAGCTAGTAACCAGCAGGGGACAGAATCCCAAAGTAGATGTGTTTTCTGAGCTGGGAGAGCCCTAGAGTGCTAGTCACAGGGACTTCAAGAGAAGAGAGGGAACTGGGCATAATGCCACACACCTGTAATCCCAGCACTTTGAGAGACTGAGGTGGGAAGACTGCTTGAAACCAGGAGTTTGAGACCAGCCTGGGCAATATAGCAAGATCTCGTCTCTACAAAAAAAAAAGGGAGAAAGAAACATTAGCCAGGCATGGTGGTGCACACCTGTAGTCCCAGCTACTCGGGAGGCAGAGGTAGAAGGATCACTTGAGCTCAGGAGGTCAAGGCTACAGTAAGCCGTGATTGAGCTACTGCCCTCCAGGCTGCATGGGTGACAGAGTAAAACACTGTCTTGGGGGGGAAAAAGAGAGAGAGAGAGAGAGAAAGAAGAGGGGCTGAATATTTCTTCAGCATCTTCCGTGTGTGGGCCCCGTGGCAGGTGATCCTTACAAGACATGCACTGACCTCTTACCCTGTGAGTTGGGTTGGGTACACTCATCTCTCCATACGCTGAAGAAGATCCCCAGAACCAGCTCCTGATTACATGATACGGGGCTAAATGGGTACCTCAGTCCTCTGGAAGGGGGGGGTCCACTGCCCCTCCTCATGCCCCTCCCCCCTCCCCTCTCTTGGGAATCCAAGGGGCATGGGTGAGGAGGAATGGCCTGAGGCCCCCACAGAACAACTCTCACTCTGAACCCCATCCCAAGCCAGGCAGTAAGTGGCTCTTTTGCACCTCGGTCTCCAGCATTTCCCGGGCCGCTGGATGAATGTCCTGATGTCTCTGAAGAGCCCTGCACAGTCTCCATGGCCACCCCTTCCTCTGCACAGGTGGCCCTTCCTCATGCGGTGAAGGGGATGGGGGAACTTCTCTGTTCTTCAAAATGGAACATGTGAGGAGGCTGGAGGCCCAGGGCCAAGAAAAGGCTAAAATGGCCAAGATGGTGGACAGGCTGAGGCGTGTGTCCACTTCTACTGAGAGCAAAATTAGTTCAGCTTGCAGCAGGGAGAGGTCCAGTTACAGAAAGAGGAGCTTCCTGAGAGCGTGGCCAAGGGAGTCCTCCTCTAACAGCAGGCACTGGGAGCACTCGGAGGCCACAGGGAGCACTCAGTCCTCCTCCTCCATCAGTTCACAGCCAACTGGGGCCCTTGGAAGGGAAGGGCCTGGGAAGATCCCTTCAAGCTCCTGCTCAGTATTTTCCATCTTGAGTAACTGGGAGAGCCCTGCCTGCCTGAATTGGGGCAGCAGTGGGACTGACTTATCCTGAAGCTAGGGGGAGCCAGACGACCCTCAAGACTGTCCTAGGTGTCCTCTGAGGACACTGAGAGCCACCCCAGTCACCAAGAAGTTACCACTGATGTGCACTTGCCCTGTACCAAGCCAGATAGCATCTCACCCTTGATCAATTCTGTGTTTCCCCCTCTCCCTGTCCTGAGTGGTACATTGAGTGAGGCTCAGCATGCAATTGACACAAATCACAACACCAACAAGTCATTTCCAGTCTTCACACAGTCCCCCAGAATCCATTCTGTTACCCCATTTTGCAGAAGGAGAAACTGAGGCCAAAGCAAATAGGGTCCCACAGCAAGTCAGAGGCCTCCAAAGTGTCTGCTTCCAAAGCTCTTTTCACTAGAGGCTCTGACATTGGACAACAACTGGGAAAGTGGCTCTTTTGCACCTCCAGGATAGAGGTCAGACCCTGGAGAGACCCAAGGGTGCCAAGCCGATGGCTAGGACCCCAGAGAGTGGGGGGATTCAGGGCCTGAAGAAGGAGCGTGGGAGCTGAGAGGAGAGCTGTCCCAGCTCCACCAGGTGCAGTGCTCAGCCCCAGAGGGCAGGGCGTAGGGTACAGGATGACAAAACGCAAGGAGAGATCCAGTGCTGGGTGTGGCCCAGTTATGAAATCACCTCCTTGCTCAGCCCCAAGTTCTCTCCCTACCCAAAGCAGGGTCTTCTGGGACCACAAACATCCCACACGGGTGTGGAGGCCCTGCAGCACCAAGCTCCAGTGTCTCCACCCCATCCCGCAGGATGTGCAGGGAGCAAGCCCACAGGGCAAAACGGTGGCCTCAGACTCAATGGAAACAGGCACAGATGAGGGGGAAGATTTGTATGCTGGACCGTGTGGGGAGGGGGCACGCTAGGACCACCCCCCAGGCCCAAGTCCCTAGACCCTGTCCCTGGGAGCCATTGGACCTGGAAGAAAGACCACAGGCCTCTCATTGCATCAGTGTCTTTTGGCCTAGGGAGAGAGAAAGGCCTTCCTGTTACCTGGCCCAAAGCTGCCTGCTGCAGTTGAAACCTCTCCCCTTCTTGTTCTTTAGGAAACAGAAATTCTGGATGCAGGCATCCTTTTCCTCTTACTCTGTAAGCACACAGCCTCAACCCCCAAATCGAATGGGCTGTGGAGTCAGTTTTCCTGCCTCTGTCTGGGATCATGGGCATCCCCGGGGGCCAAGGGCCGTCCATGTCCCTGCCTTTGGGCCAGGCCCCAGGAAGCCGGCATCAGGAGTTCTGGCTGCCAGCCCAGAGCCCTCTCCAGTGCCTTGACCTCAAGTGGGCAGGAAGATGGCGCCAGAGTGGCCAGTGCGCTCAGTGTCCCCCCCCCACCTCTCTCTCTCTCCTTCCTCTCTCCTATCTCTGTCCCCAGCTCAACAACAACACGACCGCTGGTCAGGGGGTGACCGTGGAGCTCTTCCTGACCCTGCAGCTGGTGCTCTGCATCTTCGCCTCCACCGATCAGCGCCGTGGAGACAACCTGGGCACCCCCGCCCTCTCCATCGGTTTCTCGGTGGCCCTGGGCCACCTCCTCGGGGTAGGTCACAGCCTCAGGTCCAAGCCTCCCGGCAGGGACACACAAACCACTCTAGACACAGGCACAGGGAGCCCTCAAAACTGACAGCCATCAAGACCTCCAGAGGGACAGGCACGCAGAACTCCCAAAGGGACAGAAACCTCAGAGGGACAGATAACACTCCAGCCCTGAATGAAGACAGAGCCCTGTAAATAAAACACGGATTCCTTTAGGTTTAGGCCAAGCCCTGAGAGGAGGACGAGACCCCCTGTCCTGTCCTCACCTCCCTTCTCTCCCTGCCCCCATCCATTGCAGATCCACTACACCAACTGCTCCATGAATCCTGCCCGCTCCCTGGCTCCGGCCGTCGTCACTGGCAAGTTCGACGACCACTGGGTATGGCTGAAGCCCCCTGCCTTCTCCTTCCCTAGAAAACCATTTGCGAGGGAGAGCAAGGGTTGGAATAGCGTGGGGTGGGGGCTCCAAACCCACCACACTCCTCCTCCTGGGGCCTTGGGGAGCCCTGGGTTCCATCCCTCAGGTCCATGTTGGCATTGGCCAGTGACTGGGTTTCCACATCTGTAAATGAGAATAACAATAGTTCTTACCTCACTGGCTTCTTGGGAATATGAAATGAGGTTACCTGTGCAACAAACATGGCCTGGCACTTAGAACGCCATAAATGGCGATAGTTACACTATCTAACACATATGTTTTTATTATTTAGCACTTATCTAGAGTTCAGGATGTGCTAGGCCTTGCTCTAAGTACTTTGCAAATATTAACTCATTTCATTTTCACAACAACCTTGGGAGGTAGGCATTCTTATAATGAAAGGAAACTGAGGCACAGAGAGAGTAGGTAATTTGTGGAAGTTCACACAGCAAGTGGTGGAGTCACAATTCACACCTGGGCAGATGCGGTCTCAGAATTCACGACTGGGCTTGGTGGCTCAGCTTGTAATCCCAGCACTTTGGGAGGCCCAGGGGGGTGGATTGCCTGAGCCCGTGGGTTCAAGACCAACCTGGGCAAATTAGCCGGGCATGGTAACCCGCGCCGGTAGTTCTGGCTACTTGGAAGGCTGAGGGGGAAGAATCGCCAGAGCCCAGGCAGATTGACGCTGGGGTGGTCATGAGTGTGTCACCGCACTCCAGCGTGGGCGACGGAGTCCAACTGGTGCTCTGCATCTTCAACTCAACTGTCCAAACTCCAACTCAAAAAAAAGGAATTCACACCCTTAACGCCCCCATCCGCACTAACAAGTCTTCGGAAGCAGCTCAGGCTGTTGTGGCTCATTACACGAATAAGCATTTTAGTAAAGCAATGACTGGGAGCACAGGAGTGTGGGGAGGAGGGGGTCTGGGGAGGAGGGGCCCAAGAAGAAGCGGGCACGGAGAGAGGGCTGCAGG